TGCTAATATACTTTCTCAAAAGTTAAAGTCCAGGTACTAGATACTATGTAATACAATAGTCATATATTGAAAGAATTTATATGGCCATCACAACTCAACCCCCAAAGTTACTACTGAGGAATCAAATTCCATTACATATCAGTAGTCATCCTACACAATGTGATTTCTAAACACAAGATCTGTGAACATATTAGAGAAAGCAAGAGAAATAAAGAACCACTCTTGAGGATCTCACAGAACCATTTAATTGAGTAGATCCTATCACAATGTCACTACTCCAAATCCAAGAAATTATATCTTTGTCCTGAACGTCTAAGCATATCCTGTCTTCAAAACCAAATGACTGCACGTGCCTTCTCTCCTAACACACGTCCAATAACAAAGCCAGCATATTCAAGCACAAAATCGTTTCACAACTTCATTCTCAATTTTCAAGATTCATGATTGCTATAGCCATCTCAAGCAATATCCATGTATATAAATTACCAAAATAAGTAACCAATCATCAAACCAAGATTACATTTGAAAAACTTCCCTAAGTCAGCAACACACAAATGATAAAAGCAATAAACCTGCAGGCAAATTCCATTTGACGCCATCCTAGCATTCGTTCTCTTACGAGCCGCCCTCCCAGCAAATATAAGTTAAATTCTTCATCATGAAAAATTCAAACTTTGTCCAACCCATCAGTCATTTCACACCGCCCTTCTCTCCGCCATTTCTGTCCAGCCCACGGCGCCCCATGAGAACAAGATTGAAAAGCTTCATTCGAGCCTCATACACAGGGTCCCGCTCGATCAGCCTCCCTCTCTCATAAGCCTCCCTTAGAAACACAGTATGCGCGTACCCCTTTGTCGACAGATAAAACATCCCTGGATGGTCCAAAAACAAGTCCCTCACGTTCAAGTCAATCCCAAACCACTTCCTAAAATGACTGATCTTCTCCACCTCAACCATCTTCTCCACAGTCAGGCTCAAGAACTCGTGCACGATCCCCACCGCCCTTTTTTCCATCCTCCTCACCCCATTTTTAGTTCTCTTGAATTCTTCTGATTCATAAGGGTTCACATATGGCAGTCTCTGCCACTCTTTGACTTTGGCCTTGAAATCCTTACTCAGCCGCATCCCAGGCGGGTACCCCTGCTTGAAACCGTACATTAATTCAGCCCCATCTACGATGCTACAATCTTCTTTGCAACATTCCACGGCCCGCCAGCTGTCGACAGCAGGAACCAAACAATCTTTGAATTCATCACTATCTTTGAGCACGAGAATGTGGGTATTGGGCTCGTTTCCATCTTGGAGAGAGAAAACGTCTGAATTCCTTGAGATCACGGAGCCCTCGAAGTCATCGGGCAGCCCTAATTCTCGCCAGACCTTGAAAACGGCTCTGAGGGGCAGCTTTCGGGTGAGGGACATGGACAGGAGCTTGACCAATCGGGTCACGGCGAGTGGGAGAGTGTTGTCTATGGCTTGGGATTCGAGATGGACTATTTCGAGGGCGGCGGGAGTGAGGGAGCAGAAGGGCTGGAGCTTGGTGGGGTGGTTGAAGACGCGGAAGATGTGCGGGTAGTTTCGGAGGAAGGCGGCGGCGCCGCGGTTGAGGTGGAGGCGCTGGGAGAGGCGGCGGAGGAACTCGAGGGAGACGGCGGGCGGGTCGGAGGTGGAGGCGAGGATGAGGTCCTGTATTGAGATGACCTTGAGGAGGTTCTTGTACTTGTCCATCAACTTCTCGAAGGTGGGATCACGGGACCTCGAGGCCACGTACGCGGCGGATGTCGTTTTCGTGCGGCTGAGGGCGGCGGCGGATGGGATGATTTTCTTTACAATTTGGGTTGCCATCATTTTCTTTTTAATTATTATTATTATATATTATTTCTTTCCCCCCCTTCAATTTCTGGCTTCTTGCTCAAATTTGTTTGCTCAATTCTTCAGCACAATGCTCACCAGTCACCAGGACCATTTGTAGCGAGCACACGCCTTCTAAAATGGGAACGATATTAACCTGTTTATTTGGTGCTTGTAAATATCCAGAAAATTGATTTAAAAGGTAATAAAAATCGAATGGAAGAAATAATGCTAGATGCTTAATAAAAACATAACACTCGTTAAAGAAGTAGTCCCATAAATTACGTACAAACACAACAATCTATGACTGATGCCGTCAAAATGGAACGAGTTTTGTGTATAGTGGTAATACAAATACACGACCTTTTCACGATTTTTTTTTTGGAACTTTTAATAATAAAATGAACACAAAATGGTGTATGAAGTTTGTGCAAACAATGCAAATAACTCTTCAAATTCAAGTAAATAATGATATAACATTCATTGCATATTTATATATGTAGAAACATCTTTGAGGGATTTATGTACTAAAGACAGTAATGCTAAGGAGCCAACTGTTGGCTCCGTTATGGAGCCAACAACCAATGGGACAGCTCCATGTGGGACTGACCTACGTGGCTCTAATGTGGGACATCCTCACGTGGAGTTGTCCCATTGGCTGTTGGCTCCGTAACAGAGTCAACAGTTGGTTCATTAGCATCATTGGTACTAAAGATACTATAAAAAACGACAAAGATTGAGTTGACAACCTTTTCGGCAATAACAAGTGTGTCTAGGCCGCGGGCTCGTCGCGCCAAAACGAGGTAAGCCCTTGCCAACCGTCGCGTGGCGCGATAAACTCTGTTGTTGCTGGCGCAATGGATCTAGTCGTCGTTGGTGTGACGGTTGTTGTACAACATGACAGGTCCAACCGTCGTTGGCGTGAAGACTCCTATGTCTTTATGCCCAAGCTTACCAATTTTTCCATTATAACTAACTTTTGAGCGACTTAAACTCAATTTTCAGTTACAAAAACTCAACTTCTCCACATTTTAACTTTACAAATAATTTCTTATTCAATATAAAATGGTTTTGAGATTTTTTTCAAAGTTTTCCATCATCGAAAAATGAGGTCGTAAAATTGACAAAACCAGTTTTCCCTGATAACCCTCACATGAATGAAATTAATGCATATATGTAATACTTAAGAGTTTCGACAAGCCGTCATTGCATCAACATAAATAAATTGTAGTTTCGAATCTTCCATAATGAAATACTATTGGATATACTAACAGGTTAGTAGTAATGCTTTGAACTTACGAGTTGTTTGTGTGCACCTAGACATTACTACTCACACAACAACTCTAATATATTGTTCTCACAATGTGTTAATATCAACTATTGACCATATCTCGATTTAGTAAATGTTGATTTTAAGGCCTATTTACCTCTCACTTACAAATGCGATTCTCCTATCAAAGTTCTTATGTATTATGTGTAGGAATTATTAAAAGTTTTTTACTTAACTTCACCAATTAGGCATATTTAATACTTCATGGTTCTTAAGAATAAGTAAAAATTTTCAAGTGTTCCACTGAACTGTCGAAACTTAGTTTTCCCACTGAACTAAGGTTTCAGAATCTCTAATTCTCAAGTTTGAGTATCACTAAGACTTTTTTATATTGTGAATTTTGAAGCTATTCCCGTAACCAACGAATTCTCAAGTTTGAGTATCACTAAGACTTTCTTATATTGTGAATTTTGAAGCCATTCCCGTAACCAACGAATTCTCAAGTTTGAGTATCACTAAGACTTTTTTATATTGTGGATTTTGAACCCATTCTCGTAATCAACTTGTACATTTTATCTCAGTTAATGCCTTTAGTAAGCTGATCCACTAAGTTTTCCATTTACTCAATGTATCAACCAAAATAGCTCCATTAGAGATCATTTTCGTTACCTTCTTGTGTCTCCAACGTACATGTCGAGATTTATCATTATACGAGATATTTTGTGCTCTTCTAATTGTAGATTGATTATGACAATGTATTATCAAGGCAGCACTTGTTTAGTTCAACATGGAATATCCTCAATGAAATTTCTACATCATTCAACTTCTTCTCCGATTTAGTCCAATGCTATAAACTCGAACTCTATCATGGATCTAGCAATACACTTTACTCATGGACCTATTTAGTTTACTCACTGAATAGGCTATACTAGGGTAGGTAAAATAATTCATCAAATATTATTCTTCACTTCTGGAGATAGTGTTATAGTGTCTTTTGCAGGCTGGTGGAGAGGGTGTTATTCTAGTTATGCTAGTGTTATAGTATCTTTTGCTTAGTTTTTGTGTGTGTTTGTTTAGGTGTTTATTCTTCACTTTTGGAGGTAGAATTCTCCGCTTGTGGGAGGTTAGTTTAGTACTATCGCAGTCTTGTGGGTGTGTTTAGTGTAATTAATTCTATGCTATAGACGTTCTCGTTGTGTAACCCTCTCTCTGAATTACTATATAATTGTTTGAGTCGACTGTTACTAGCTATTTTAAGGATTATAAACATATGTTTTTATCTATAAAATCCACAGTTTTAGAGGGAAAAAAAAAAGCAATTGACGGTAGTCAGCCAGCCTCATGGGTCGCTAGAGGTCGGCCGGCAGTTGGAGTTTATTTTTTTTTTGGTTAATAAGTTAGTTGTCTTATACATTGAGAGTATTATTATATTCATGTCATGGCTGTGGACTAATTGACAAATGACAACATATAAATGAAAATTGTCAATTCAAACTTACTGTTGCTAATTTTCCTTGAGAAATTTAAAATAAATCATATCGTATGAATGATCTCTAACTTTGGAACAAATACTTTATCGGGTTCATGAATGTTTTCATATGTACCCACTCATGCTAAATTTAGCTGCGCTCATTAGTCAATATCTTAGATGGAAACATATCAGTTTTTTCATTAATGAAATACGTTTGGATGCAACTAATTAGAGGCACACCAAAATACGGAGAAGAGAGTGAGGGAAAAAAAAAAAGTCAGACCACATAAATTTAGTGGACATCCTAACCTTAGAGAGTAGTTCCTGGACGAACGAGTGGTAGAGAAAAAGACTCTTAATGTTCTCCCACGTTCTATAAGTTCATCACTAATGTGTGGGACTTTCATTTACAACAAGAAAATAAACATAAAAGGAAAAAAAAAAAATCAACATGGAAATGAAAAGCATTGTTTCAGCACTCTTATTGGTTTTGCCATTTATAGCACTGAATGGAAAAGCACAAGAGCCTTTGGTTTATGACATCACAAAGTACGGTGCTAAACAAGGTGCCGATATCAGCAAGGTCATAAAATAAGATCAACAGTATTTTTGTATTTTGTCACGTCACTATTTTTTGTAATCAAATTAAATATTTTGTATATTGATTTCATCTTGTTGTAGGCTCTCCTTGATGCTTGGAAGGAAGCTTCGGCAGCGGAAAATGCTAGTAAGATCGTTATTCCAAAGGGGACATGGATTCTAAGCCAAGTCAGATTGACGGAAAACAAAGCCCCTCTAGAGCTCGAAATCCAAGGCACTGTGCAAGCCTATGCCGACCCCCAAAAACTGCCTAACAAACAAGGTGAATGGATCACCATCAATTACGTCAACTACTTCACCCTATCAGGTGGTGGCGTTCTCGACGGCCAGGGCCACGAAGCATGGAAGCAAAACGATTGCAACAAAAATAAAAATTGCGTCAAGCTTCCCATCGTAAGATCTTACATAAATTATTACACATATGCTTTTATATATCATAAATAAATAAAAGGCATTGATGTGGCTCAATGCTATGTCAGATTTTCGTCAACGGAACCGTCGATCATGTATCTATTTGCAAAAGTGGTAGAGGCGGTATATTAATTTGCAAAATTTCAAAGGTGGTGATTAAATTGCAAAAACATGAAAGGTGGTGTATTAATATGCAATTTTGCCTAAATAAAAATGCATGTTCATGACTTTGTTGGTGCAGAACCTGAGCTTGAATTTCATCAACAACTCGGTAATCCATGATCTGACCACTAAAGACAGCAAGAACTTCCACGTGAACTGCATCTCGAGTCACAATGTGACCTTCCAGAGGTTCCACGTGTCAGCCCCTGGGGAGAGCATCAACACCGATGGGCTCCACCTGGCACGCTCCTCCTTAATCAGTGTTCTCGACTCTGTCATCGAGACAGGGGATGACTGCATCTCCATAGGGGATGAGAGCTCCGAGTTCCACATACAGAACGTCACATGCGGACCGGGCCACGGCATCAGCATCGGAAGCCTCGGAAAAGGTGCTCAAGAGAAGGATGTCACTGGAATCTACGTCAAAAACTGCACTTTCAAACAGACACAAAACGGCGTTAGGGTAAAAACGTGGCCATCCGCCCCGGCCACGCTCAAGGTCAGCAATCTGCATTTCGAGGACTTGATCATGGAAAATGTGAGCAACCCTATAATCATCGACCAAGAATATTGTCCATGGAATCTATGCGACAAATCAGACCCATCCAAAATCCAAATCAGTGACGTCAGCGTAAAGAACGTACGCGGAACATCCAGCACAGCGGAGGTCGTGACTTTTGCATGCAGCTCGGGCAAGCCGTGCCAGAATGTGGAGATTGGTGACATTGATCTTGGATTCATCGGGACCATTGGCAACATTACAACCATTTGCTCGAATGTGAAACCCACTGTTACAGGAAAAATGAACCCGCCACTATGTGCTTCCCCTCCGGCGGCACAGACGGCTTAACTGATTCATGCATGCATTTATTAGGAATGGATTATCCATGAATAATTTTGTATTTTATTTTATTTTCCAACGGGAATAAATTGTACAAGTTGTGAGTTTGTACTATTTACTATTGACCATACATTTTAGAGTGTTATACATGTTGATCAACGGATTTGATCAACCTAAATTAAGAAATTTTGTATGAATTTCGTAGTGATTAAGACTGTAATCGTTCTTGTTTTCTTTTTGTTTTTCAGAAAGCTTATGTAGAAATTAATATTATAGTGGTTGGGTTATCCGGCCATCTGAGATCATCTTTGGCTTTAAATGCGAAAATCTTTGTTATATTTTAATGTTTCGAGTATTAATTTTTTCTGCCGAAAATCGGAACCCCTTCCACATGGGTCCGGAAGCTATTTATAATACTACACGCCCGACCACTGTTCATCGAGGCCACATCAATTTAATGTTATTTGACAGGCATTAATTGTTAGCAAGCTACCCTATGGTCTAATAGACGTATGCCCTGTGAAGACAACGTGCCCGTCTTGTCAGTCATCATTAGATTACAAGTGAGAATATTATAACATTTCCCCGTGGCTGAGTGGAGTTGGATCCCCAACCTAAGTGAACCGGGGAAGTTGGACATCCTGTGTCTGATACGCGAGTTTTTCTCGAAATGTCGCATCTAGGGGACCGACCTCAATTGACCCTTGAGGGCCCGACCTAGCCTGGATTAATACCCCTAATATTTTTCCTTCAACCCAGATATCAACAATATATTTAACCAAACACGAGACAAAACTACTACAATGAATTACTAAAATCGTTATGAAATGAAAATCAAGGTAAAGTGAGGATGGAAAAAATTATGGTTTTCTGGAATGAACCGGTTGCCAGCGAAGCGAACCGGTCAACAACTATGTTGTCCAGTCATAAATTTGTTTGCATGAGGTTGTTACATACTATAATGACTGTTTATATTGTTTGCGCTCCATATGACATTTTTTTTGTCCGTGGTTATATTTTGTTTGACCATGCACCACTAGTTCGTTGCTATTGATGAATGATACTGGTATTTTATGTTTATTATGCTCACATTTTCCAATACAATTTTTAAATAAAAAATAATCGTGGCTACATAGTTGTCTATCATAAAACACAATTCATCAAGAATGTTTTCTTTCTATACACATTTTTCTAAACAATCTTTATGTTGTCTTTCTATACTTACATTTTTATAAACAATCTTTAAATCAAAAATCAATCGTTGACATCCAATCTTCCACATTTGATCTGATAATATATATATATATATATATATATATATATATATATATATATAATTGATGACAGATGCATTAATTACCTATTTAATAAAACCTTCATAATTTTCTAGCTCTTTTTTTTCAATTAATGATATACTACTTTAAAAGGACGAGTATTTTTGTAAAAATATGAACTACCTGAAATAACCTTACTTTGATATGTTTTTAATGGCAAATTAGTAATACATTAATACATATTTTATTTTATATTTTTAATTAAGAAAATAAATTACCTAAAAAACCCTTACTTTAACATGTTTTTAATGGTAAATTAGTAACACACCAATACCTACTATATCTTGTATTTTTAATTAATAACTAATGTTTAATTAATTAAATACGCACCATTATTTCTCACGAAATTGCTTTCTTCCACATATCTCCCAAAAATCAACTCAACATCAACCTAAACAACAAAGTTTTGAAAAGATATAAAATTGTTGTTTAAAAAAAAAAATCCTTGTTTTTATTGTAATTTTATACATTATCTGACAAACTAGGAAAAGTTGAACAATTCATTTAACGACTTCATTATTTAAGAAAAGTAAACTCTTAGATTTAGAATTACAATAGAAGTTGAAATTTAGTCTTACTGGATTGAATTTTGATCCTACAAAAATCGTCATTTGTTTGTTTGTTTGTTTTTTCCAATTTTAGTCACAAATTGAATAAAGTTAACGAACTTTCACTTGACCATTAGATGGTTAATATCAAGGTGAGTAATATTTTGATTATTAACACTTAAAATGTATGAATTTTACATTCAATAATTAAGTAAAGTATCATGAGATTTTAATTATTATTATTATTATTATTTTATTTGAGCCGCTGATTTTCATGATGTGTGCTAAATAAAAGAACAATATGAAAATAAACAAATATTAAATCTGATGAATACATTAAAAATACAATTAAGGAGTAAGACTTACTAATAAATATGAAAACAAATAATAAATAAAAATTTTATAATTAATAAAAGTAAACATAAAATTTTTAAAACTTATACTTATCGATGTAAATGAATCGAATTGTTTATATCTTTTTATTTTTTTGTGCTTATTAGTTCTATGTGTAACTTTTAGGTGATAGATAATAGTTATTTGTACTTTTATCCATGTAGGTTTGAAATTTTAATATTTTAAAAAAATGATTATTTTAATTTTAAATAACTTTTTATTTGCTATTAGTTTTTTTATGTAATATATAAATATCATACAATATAAAATAATAATTATTTTTGTTATTTAATATTAATACGTAAAAGGTTGTAATTCAATTGAGAAATTAATAGGCAATCTTGAGTTAAAATAACGAGTGATTTCTAAAAAGCTATATGGACTAAAAAGTCATGTGTTTAATATATTTTTAATAAAGAAAAATTATAAACGCAATTAATTAATAGAAAAACTACAACATAAAAATTTTTTGTTTACAAGAATTTTCAAAAAATTTCCAACATTTTACCTCAACCACTTTTTTTAACACAACTTTAACTCAAGCCCACTATCATCAATATTATCAAAATAATTAAATAATATCAATCAATCATTCATACACACTACATCAACCTTAATTCACTATTCATCCACTCACATTATTTTAACTAATTATCACTTCAAATCATCTCTCTCCTACTTTTACATCAAATCAATTTTAATTATTTTATTTTAAATATTATTTTAATATACCCACTAACACCTAACCATACCACCTTTTTTCAAATTAACCAAACTAAAACAAAAAATTCAAACAAAACAAAAAATTTTCATAAACAAACATGCTATGTTTAAAAAGAAATGCAAAAATAAAATGCTATATTGCAATGAAAAATCCAACGATAAGGTGTTCCACAAAAAATTCCAAAGGATATTTTATTTGCATAGCATTCATTGGAAAATACCACTGGATATTCCAACACAAATCAAATTAAATTATAATAGAATTTTAGTGGATTTATTTATTCGAATTACCATTATTTATTTTCTTGTGTCAATTCATTTGATTTTTTTTTTTGGGAACATATTTCTACCGTTGGAAATTTTTTTATTGAAATGTAAAAAATTCAATGAAAGTTGCATTGGAAAGCTAATTGCAGTGGTAAATACAGACAATTTCATATTGGGGGCACTATTTAGCTAATAGAAAAAATATACCATCAAAATAACATAATGTCATTACAATATATAAATTATACTTTTCATAATGTATCATCTTTCTCATCTGTAATACATGTTTAGCAAAGCTGTACAGTTACAATAAGTTAAAAGTATTTAAAAAAACACAATTTTTCTCAACTAAATATAAGCAAATCATTGAAAATAATATATCTATTAAAATCTGATGAACAAAAAATCTATGTTGTAGTATAGATGACTCGACAATATTATTGATTAATTTATAAATTATGACTAATTGATTATAATATTAATGAGAAAATGTAGTTGTATATAATATAATATTATGATATACAAATAGATTATATATTAACACATATGACCGCAATAATATATTCTTCAAAAATCTTATGAACAAAAAATCTATGTTGTAGTATAGTTGACTCGCAATATTGTTCATGAATTTATAAATTATGAATAATTGATTATAATATAAAGAGAAAATTGTAATTGTATATAATATAATATTAAGATATACAAATAATTGATATATTAACACATATGACCGAAAAAGTTCTATATATAATATTTTGAATTTTTAAGCAAATACAAAATTTAAAAACATATGAAAGAACAATATAAAATAAAAAAAATATTATATTTGACAAATGATATTAAAAATTACTAAGTTGTAACACATACTAATAAATATTAAAAAATAATAAATAAATATGTTATAATTAATAAAAGTAAACATAAACCTTTTACAACTTATATTATCGATGTAATCGAGCAGGGTTGTTAAATACTTGTTAATTTTTGTACTTATTAATTCTATGTAAGTTTTAGGTGATATACAATAGTTATTTTTACCTTTATCCATGTAGGTTAGAATAAAAACACTTGATTATTCTAATTTTAAATTACTTTTTATTTGCTATTAACTTTTTACGCGCACACACACACACACATATATATCATATTAAATATATACATAATAATTATTTTAATTATTTAACATTTAATATGTAATAATGTAACTCAATTGGGAATTTAATAGGTAATCTTGAGATAAAATAATGAGTTACTTTAAAAAAAAATATATGGATTAAAATGTTCATGTGTTTAATATATTTTAATCCAAAAATTGTAAACACAATTACTCAATAACTACTACCTAAAATATACTGTTTAAGAAGGAATACAAAAGAATTGGTATATTGCAATGGAAAATGCATCTGTAAGATATTCCAATAAAAATTCTAACGGATATTTAATTGGTATAGCTTTTATTGAAAAATTTTACTATTCCAACACAGATCAAATTAAATTACATTGAAAATTTTGTGAATTAAATGATTCCAATTATTATAATTTATTATTGTTTGAATTTCTGTTGAATTTTTTTATGGATCATATTTCGACAGTTGAAAACACTGTCATTGAAATTGTAAAAAGTTTAATAGAAGTTCCATTGGAAAACTAATTGCCGTGGCGGATCTAAAATAATTTTATATTGGAGCACTATATAGTTAATAGAAAAAGTATACCATCAAAATAACATAATGTCATCACAATTTATAAATTATATTTTACATAATTTGTCATGTTTCTCACTTGTAATACATTCTAACACATCAGTACAGTCACAATAAGTTAAAAAATATTTAATATAAAAAAATGATGATTTTTCTCAATTCAACATAACAAAATCATTGAAAATAATATTATTTTTTAAAAAAATATATAAACAAAAAATCTATGTTGTAGTATAGCTGACTCGGCAATATAATTGATGAATTTATAAATTATGAATATATAACTAGAATTCCCATTGCATTAGTTAAAAAAGACATAAAAAATATATTTTGAAGATATAGGAAAAAATATGTTGCGAAAGAGAAATTTGAAACTATTATCAAGATTGAAAAATATAATTAGAGGATAAAATTGTAAGTTTGAGATTTATTATATTTTCTTTGGTTGTGATGCCGCGTTTATGTTATAACATTAATAAAGTTATGAATTGAATTAAATTATAATTTGTTGAGTTGTAAATTAATTCATTATGTATCTTTCTTTCTTTCAATTTCATTTTCAAAATAGGGGACATGATAAAAAATTATGAAAAAATGTTCCCACAAATTTTTATTAGATTCCTTACGCTATATGCTTTGGGATGGTGGGTTGTGCCGGATCTATAAAATAAACATAGATCTGCTCATGATTCCAATAAAATATTTTGCTGGAATTATATTGGAAAATTCAAACGGGAGTAATAACATTCAAATATTTGTTAGAATTTTCGTTGAATTCCGTTGTAATATAATTTTTTAAATTTTCGTTGGAATTTTTTCATTTTCTTGTAGTAAAGGTAGGGCTCCAAATCAATAAGAAAAATTTGTATTATATATAATATTGTGTGCAACTAATTATTATGAAAATTGTTGATAATGATAATAGTATAACACATTCAATTTAATTATCATATAATTTATGGTAATTAGTAAACTATTTCAAAACAAACAAGATATATCTAGGTAAAAAAGTCCTTAATTATTTTATTAGTATTCTAATAGGTAAACAAGGAGAAGAGTGATGAGAAAACTTATAGCTCGCATTAAATCTAAAAGTAAAAAAAAAAAATGTGACAAAATTAATTAATGTCCTATATCAATTGAAGCTAGGTAATGAGAAATACCAAACATACTTAATATGCACATTTATTTTAACTTGAACTTTTAAGTTCATAAGAAAATATTTTTTTGCATTAAAAGTCACTATGTTAGTTTGAAATTCTTTTAATTAAAAATTTAATTACTTTCTACCATTAATTTTTCAATTTTAAAATAGTTATTATTTTTTCATTTGTTACCCTTTTATATGTAATATATCACATCATTTCTTTCCAATGATGTACATCAATTATCAACACTAATTTAAAAAAAAATAAATAGACCTAAAAGTATCTTATAAAATAAATTATACATCAATGTTAAATAAAGTTCATTAAGTATTAAATAACATAATATAAACTTGTGGTATATTTTTCTAACATAGATCCGAAAATTCATACTAAAAAAAAAAATAAAAAATGGATACAAACATACAACAATCACAAATATTAACTATGTGAATTAAAAGGAGAAATAAACGAGTTGTATGTTACATTATTATTTAACTAACACATAAATTCAATGAGTATGAAAATGAGTTAGTTGCTTAATATTTTCTCAAACATTGGAAAGAAATTCTAAACCTTCTAATCTAATAATCAGTATAAAAGTACAACTTTTTATCAAATATATTATTATTGTAAATAAATAAGTAATATTAAATTTTATTTTATCTTATGTGATTATATTAGTTGTTGCCTAATATATAAGATATTTTGATAACAACGTCATTTATATGAAACACATACAAAAAATGATGCAATACATATAAATGTGCTATAATTCTTTTAATAAACAAAGTATTATTTATCAATAGAATAAAAAACTAATAAAATAATAGTAATGCAATTGAAAAAATAAAATGTCTGAATTTTCTTAGACAAATATGTAAACCAATATTTAGAAACAAAAAGTCTTTTAAAAATAATACTTTTTTTGTTGCTAGCGCTTAAATATATGGACTCTGTAAGAAATTGGATCTCATAAATAATGATCATATATTATCAATTTTTAATTTTAAATAATTAAAAATTTAAAACTTTATAATACATAATGTAGATTTTTATAGTGATTTCGTAATAATAAAGTTCAAAGATGACTAAGAGTCATAAAAAAGAATTCTAATTATTCTCATCTCAAATATTTTAACAAATGATATGATTATCAATGTTGTCTCATTGTTTTTTTTTTTGTTTGGTTTTGTCATTGGTGAAGGATCAAGAAATGATCTTTATCTTGAGTTTTTTTGAGCATTATGTATGATGCATAAAGTTGGACGATAAAGGCATTAAAAAAATTAGACACATAAATATTACAAAAATTCAAACGAATATGAAAGATGTTAAAATAAATAATTCTAAAATCATTGTAAGAACTAGATGATCAATGATTTGCAAACAATAGATTATGTAGTTCGTCTATCTTCCAAATAAATGACATTAAAAATGAAACGTTGGAGCCTGATCGACACATTTTTGAATGTTTGAATGAAGTTGACGCTTTTTATAGGAATATTTATAATTTCATTGGTGTATTGTGCTTGAACATATGTGCAACTATTTTAGAGTATGTGTGCTTTTAGATAAGGTGTGATGATTTCAAAAAATAACCTCGGGAAAAGTACATATAATAGAAATTTCGAAAAGTCAACTTTTATTTAGAGATGAAATTCATTCCCCTCCGTAGGGCGATACATCCATGGGGTAGGTATCAATTTGTTTATATATATAGAGAGAGTAATATAGTAGTTTATACAATGATAAAAATTAATCAACAATTTAATGACACGATTGGTTGTTTCGCAGAGATATTCATGCATGGCTAATGGAAATATAAAGATAATACAACCATGAAGTTTCACTATATGTTTGGCTATAATATTTCTTGAGTGTTTGAATAAAGTAGACATTTTGCCAAATGAATTAAGATGAATTTTTCAATACCCGTCAAAACTAAAATGAAAGAGATCGCTATTGAATCATCTAATATAAACAAATAAAAGAATTAATGCATGTATAGTATATATTAGTCATTATTAAGTTATTTAGTGTTTTTGTTGGGGGTGGTAATCATAGTTTTTAAACCTGGCCCAAAAATCGACCCGGGCAGGTCTCCAAGTCACCGGTTCAACCGCCGGGTCACCAGGTCAATTGCTGAATCGGATAATTAATTTTAAAATTTTTAAAATTATATATATATATATATATATATATTTATATATGTACTATTTTTGACATATAAATATACATAAAAGTAATAAAAATAAATGTTTTGTATACAAAATTTGTACATTTAAATGTTAATAATATTGTATCTCACAATAAATATTTACTATATCATTATATTTACATAATTTTTATTTTTTATATAAAAAATATTAACAAAATAAAAAATTTATAGAGACCGGGTCAATGCCGGGTTGGCCGAGTTTTGACCGGGTTTGACCGAGTCCATTGTTACCCGGTCAAAATAACTTCACGATGCCCTAATATAAAAAGAATTAAATAACATATTATTTAATTCTTTTTATATTAGGGCATCATTAAGTTATTTTGAAAAAACAATTTGTTTTACATTTTGTTTCATTCTTGTAACGATATATTTAATAAATTAATTTATTTATTTTACAAAACTTAATCGGCAAAAAACAATTACATTATGATCTCATTTGTTCTACGTTTTATTTCATTCTTGCAGCGATATTTTTAATAAATTAATTAATTTATTTTACTAAACTTAATTAGCAAAAAACATTCGCCACCACGTGCATCGCACGTGCAATTTACTAGTGATATTTAAAATAAGAGGAAAATCAAATATGGAGAAGAGTAAAACCTTATCAAAATCTCATCCAAGTGGTTAAGTAATAGTTGATAAAGTACAAAATCTCTACTTTATTACAGTATACCACCAAGAATAAGTGCAACTAATGTACCACAAAAGAAAAACCGATAACAGAATATGTCAGATACAAATCAGTGCATCTACAACCTTTCTCCCCCGAATCTATTCCAGCTTTTCTAGCTTGTCACATTTGTTTTCCAACAAATCCAATCTCAACTGTTTTTAAGGGCCCTACATATGGTTTTTGAGAAGGTATTTATCAGTGGATGACAGGCATCAAAGGGTGAGCTCTGAGCTTTGATAAGTCCAAGCTTGCATCCAGCTCTTCATCTAATTCTCCAACAATGCTTCTGCAGATGTAAGATTAACTAGTCAGGTTACTCGATTTCATAACAAGAGTAAAATCTAGGGTCATAGAAACCAAAACACCATTAAAAGTTACAACAGTTTAAACGGTTAAAAGGAATATCATACATATTATCACCACGTATTATGTAGAGACCCAACACAAGCTGCTGTACACCTTCCTGCAAGAAATGATAATCAACCGAAAAAAAGTCGGAGTTTCACTAATGATTTGATAAAAGAAAAGTACAATTGTGAATTTTGCAGCATGGGGTAAATATTTTAGGATACTTGAGTTTTAATGTTTAAGATAACATACAACAGAATAAATATATATGGAGTGGATCCAATAGATTAATATGAGCCATTGATTTTACACAAATCAATGGATGCGATTGGTCACTACATTCTCATTATACGAAAGTTGGATCCACCACCTATATATATGTATATATAATGGCTACCATGTTCAGTTGCAGGAACAAGTTGTCACCATTTGTTCTTGATACTATTAGCAATATGCATTCGAGAATGCCACTAAAATGATTAATTTTGGTTACCTTGAACATAATTAAAAATGGTTCAATGGGGATAAACTACCCAGTTGGATACAAAGTCAAATTGAGAGCAAAGTTATTGAGACACAAAAGAAAGTAAATAGATGAAAAAATATTCTCACACGGGGTTTTGCTTTAAAAACAAAACATAATGCAAAAACACATGCTGGTTTGATTTTTATGTGACATCATACCTTGGTGGAGTATACTCGTTCATGAGATTCATCAAGAATTATGTTGGTAGCCTGATCAAAGCCTTTCAAGACTCCCTGCACAAAAGATCACTTCTAAGACAAAACCTACCCATACATTTTATGGCTAATAATAATTTGGCCTAAACATAAAGCTCACCACAATATTTCGCCCGTCATTTGTGATGATTGATATTGTTTCTGACAAGAAAGATAATAGAAGTCAAATTCCTTCCTACTCCCAGAAAATCATTGTAAGTGTAATAGGAGTTTGCTGATCTGTAACTTGCTGCATGAGCAATACCAGGTTTACCCAATTTCATCGGACTAAAAATGAAAACTGTCTTACCAGTGAAGAATTTGTAAGAAGAAAAAAAACAACACCATTTCTCCCAACAAACACCAAATATCAGGGGAATAAACAAATAATTGTGATGTAGTCAAGAGGATAGAATGCATACGATCAACAAGTGTCTCGACTCCAGCTCCAGTTGCCATCTTATCCTCGCTTGCTATGAATGAGAAATAAAAGAGTCAAGCAAATGATGTTGGGAATTCTTGAGATTCTACAAATGAAATTAGAACTTCAGGTAGACGCTTATCAGTTAAACTGCAGATTCATTACCTTATCCAAATGTACATGTCAACATAGAGAAAGAGAATGTTAAAAGAAAAAAGGATAACAGAAAGGTAAATGTCAAAGGAAATTATAAAAAGAAAGAAAAAAGAGGAAAAAACAAATAGGAGAGAAGAAGAGCAAAAGTTAACTCATAAACATTACTTTCTCAGACCTAATTAAAAGATGCTGCACAAAACAAATTACTGGAAAGAACATGAAAGTTTTGGGATGATGAAAAAAATAATCAACTAACTAGTGAAATGGAAAATGGTGTAGCCACTACGTACCAAATGAAATCCTTAAAAGTGCTCAATCATCTTTAGCTAAAGGTGTGAAGTGCGGATAGGATCAATTGGACAAGATTCTTTTGAAAAATCGTGCATCTCTTAGAACATTAACTTTTCCCTAAACAAATTTTGTTACAACTCTCTCAATTTATATCATCAGCCTATCAAAACAAAAGAAGAATATACAATTTCACCTTCTCTGGCCATGATTATTCTAGCAACAACCATAAAGTAGAACTTCAACTTAATACTACTTCAAATGCTAAAAAGCTACTTTACGCTCTATATTATGTATATCACGAATCATGACAAAACACAAGGGTCAGAAGCAGAAAAAGTATACCCATACGTGATACATGGCATCATGTATTTTTGGAAAATAATATCAATACAGAATTTTCATGACACCATCGTTCTACAGGCAACCAGGAATTAGGTAGAAACTTCACCAACAATTCCTCACCAAAAATACTAATCAGACTTCTTCCAACGAAGAACATCTGTACCTCAAGCACCTAAGGAATCTTGCTAAACACATTGAAGCAAGAGCTACAAATCTATAACAGAAGACTTATTATTAATTCAGTTTCCCCGGCCATGGTCGCCATTATTGCATTTGCACATGTGATTAGGTCCAACCCCCGACTTTTTGTCAAAATCTTCAGCAGTTTTGGTAAAGGCTCTCCATGGCATCAAGAAACAAATGTAACGGCAGATTATCCTTTTGTTTCTCGACTTTCTAAGAGCAGGAATTTAGCAGCGAGCCAAGGAAACCCTAGCCCAGGATTCAAACACAAAGTAGAAAAAAGTAACAAGACTAATAACTTACGTAACGGGAAGCGTAGGACAGCGCACGCGCAGCGGCCAAGGAGCAGCTGAGCGACGGCGGTTGTGGCCCTTGAGGAGGGTGCGACACCGACCCTGTGAGAGCGAGGAAATAAACAGTGGTTCCTTCAGATTTTAGTTAAGTGTTAATCTTATCCTTTTTATACCATGGATCACCACTTTTTTAGTTTTAATTTATTTGACCTTTGTGATAATTTAATAAAAGAGGCCTTCTTACCCGACTGGATGTATGTATTGTGTTGCTCGCACACCGTGGGCACTTCACCACCACAAAAAAATATTCTGTTTGTGCTCAACAGTAAACATCAAAACTAATTGCAAAAAATAGTTAATTTCCATGGCTAATCCGTTTGCTTAACATCCGAGAAATAAAAGAATGGCTTGGACATGCTGCTGTTCCGCCGCCGCCGCCGCCGCCGCCACTACCACCTGTGCTGCTGTAGCTCCCGCCGCTGGAGCTCACAGTCGCCTCACCATTACTCTCAGAAAGCAGAATTTCTCCTCGCAGTTACGGTATTCGAGCAGAACTAGAACTCGAGTGTTTTCATCCAATTTCAGAGCTAGGAGCAGAACTTCAGAAAAGGAACTGGAAATTGAGCCCTCAACGCCGTCCGATGAGATTGAGTGTATCGGCACTGGATCGGACGTCGAGTGCGTGGTCAGTCCCAATGGTGATTCGTCTGTAAACCCTAACCGGTTGAGCGAGGAATCAGGTTCGGCTCTGTTGGAATTGGCGGGGGTTGCTTTGGAATGGGGTCTCCTGATATCCCCTTTTTTCTTCTGGGGCACGGCCATGGTGGCCATGAAGGAAGTCCTTCCAAAAACTGGGCCTTTCTTCGTCGCGGCCTTTCGGCTTATTCCGGCAGGGTTGTTGTTGGTCGGCTTTGCGGCTTCCAGAGGCCGAGGCTTGCCTTCCGGGTTCAATGCTTGGCTGTCTATATCAGCATTTGCACTCATTGATGCTTCCTGTTTCCAGGTTGCTTTTTAGTGGGTGCGGTTTGTGTTGAAGAAGATGTGTATTCTTTCTGTTCTTACTGGACTGATGGTTGGCAGGGTTTTCTTGCTGAAGGATTGGAGAGGACCACGGCTGGTCTGGGCAGTGTATGTTTGCTTAACCTTATTGAGCTGGCTTTTTTCCTGGAATTTTTGTTATTGTAGTTTATATGGTGTAGTGGATTCATATTCGGCTGGTTGAAGGTCCATAGTGGAAAGCAATGAGTTTCCGGCATGCGGTCAAGGCCATGACAATGGTGTTAAGAAGTATTGTTTTACAGTTCCAGTGATATTTTAAGCATCATGACTAAAATTTATTTTCTCATTTGTTGTTAATTTGGCAGTAGTGATAAGTCCTCTTGTATCTTCTACTGTCACCCATCAGGTTAGTCTATTAAACAGGAGAATCCCGAAGCACAATGGTGATAGTGTAAATATGTTTGAAAACAGTCTTCAATCATTGGAAAATCTGCACATTTCAACATAAAGTTGCTATAATAGTTGTTATTCCAAATTTTGGTTGTAGTTTTAGCTGGTACAAGTCTAATCATTGTGAAAATGGAGGGTAACACATTTGTCATGACTTTTAAATGTATCAGTTGCCTAGATGTCGTTAAATTTGCCACACGCAGAAAGATCTGCTCAATCCTTCTGACAATATTCTCCATTTAATATGATAATATTTGAGCGAACTATTGCAGGTAATAATTGACTCTCAACCTCTGACTGTGGCTATCTTGGCATCCTTATTCTTCGGAGAGTCAATAGGCTACATTGGAGCTGCTGGACTTGTACTTGGTGTCTTGGGACTTTTACTTCTTGAGGTCCGCATTTTATCTTTGTTTACTACTATGTATTTTTGCAAATAAATCGCTACTCAATCATGTAATCTGCTACTGTTGTTCAATTTCCATTTACTATCTAATGTTCCTATAGAAACAGGTTGTTGTACTCAATTTTCTTGTCATATATATGAAAAAGGTTTCACCCTATACCCCCTGGAAATGTGTCTCTTCAGTTTCTTCATAAGCCAGTTTTTACTCAGTTTCGTCATAGTCTGTTTCATTTGTAGGCATCAGTGCATGTTAGATGCAAAGCAGAATAAATTTGTAATGTTTATCAGCCTTGAACTCTTGATATTCTACCTCTGTTCAAATGATCAATTCTCTTTCCTCATTTTGTTAATTATAAGAGATCTTTAGATAATTCCCTTTCATGACACACGGAAATAGTTGACTGGTGAAAATTGCAGTACCAACACTATCAAGTCACTTTGCATTGTGGCTGTTAACTTTCTTGCATTCAGAAAATCGACTCTCCTAAAAAATACTGCCACAAGTGAACATTTCTGGGTCCTGAACCTACAAATTGACTCCTGTAATTCTGCAGGTACCTGCTCTTACATTTGATGTCAATAACTTCTCTTTATGGGGAAGTGGTGAGTGGTGGATGCTTCTTGCTGCCCAAAGCATGGCTGTTGGCACTGTCATGGTACGATGGGTCTCAAAATACTCGGACCCTATTATGGCTACAGGATGGGTAAGATGAACACATTTTCATGAGTTTTGACAATCATCTTTTATCATCTACAACATGTGAAATTGATATATCATGTTGCGTCTGGTTGTTTATTTATCCAATTGGAAGTCTAATGATCATGCCGAAGTCCCCAGGTGTTACCTTTAAATCTCATTATCATGGTTAATCTATGACAAAATTATACGTGTCTGGTATCTTTATTAATGTGAGATGATACCATCCTATTCTATTTCTGACTATGGATGATCTGTCAAATAATCTCTTGAAAAAAAAAAAAAAAAAAAAAAAAAAAAAACTGTATTAAAGAAAAAAAGTGTGCTTTCCAACATTTACCCAGTTTTACTGTACTTCAACTTACAACATATAGGTGAGAATTCAGTTCATTTATTGTGCATTTACCGCTGAAGAGCCTCCAGAAAAGATGATCTTGCAACTACCAGTGTGATTGCTTAGAAGTTTCATGTTTCAAGACCACATGTGATAATATGATATAAACCAAAGTTATATGGTTATACAAAACATTAAATTCATGCATATATCTGAAATTGGGATGGCAATGGGCGAGATGTTTATAAGGGAGAATTAAGAGAATTGACACATTAGGACATGACCCATAGGCCGTAGCACAACATGAAAGGACGATTTCAAATCTATTTCAAATTGCTTTGTATTGTTGTAATAATGAAATGCGCAGATATTAAGAAACACGCAATGAAATATGAATATTTACATGGGTGCATGACATGAATTGCTACATCTACCTAGAATGAAGTACTTAAAACCAGTTTTTTTTTTTTTTAATAATATTTATACTTATTTTATGTTATCATATTATGGTAACAAAGATTGCATTTGCAAGAGGTAAGATTAGGGTTGAATTAGTTGCTTTCCAGCTGAAGCATTGCATATTTAAGTAGGTTAGCTGCTGCTAGTACTGACAGGATACTTAGCTCCTCGGGGTATGAACTGATAACTTGCACCTTTTCATTCATAAAACTGAGTTAAACTTTCCTATATACTGGAGGGAGTTTTTATCTGGTGGATACATAACTGATATGCAGGATAATGTGGATTTGAATTTATTAGGGTTCTATTATGTGTTCTGTAATTTTGAAAATATCTTTTTACAGCTAGAGAAAATGAATAGGAAAAAACTGTAATAAATTTTGTTGGGTGTGTGCTTGGATTGAGATGACATGAGAATGATGAAAGTTTACATGATTTTAGGAGAACTAAATTACGATTCGATATGATTGTGATGGGAAATGTGCGAGTGAGTGAATATTAAATAAAAATGATCTTGCAAAATCGGAGGGAAAGCAATGGTAGAAGAGATAATAATGGGGAAGGAAGAACCATCAGTTGATGGAGTACACTACAGAATTCTTATTCCAGACATTCTGGTAAATCATAGCAGGCCTGGCGACTGCTCGTCAATATTTTAATTTTACATCCTTATCCAAGTTCTAGACCTTGAAAATTTGGAGTTTTGGAAGAACTTTCTGTTTACACGTGAATACTGAAAACCTAACATATGAGACTGTGATGTTAGACATGCCTTGCATTGAAACAAAATGAAATAGATGACTTAGGCGCTTAAATGTATCACTGCAGCACATGGTTATTGGTGGTCTCCCTCTTATGGCAATCTCTATTCTGAACCACGAACCTGCTATGTCGAGTTTTGATGAGCTTACAAATAGTGATGCTTTGGCCCTTATTTATACCTCTATTTTTGGGAGTGCAGTCAGCTATGGCGTCTACTTCTACAATGCCACCAGAGGTAACTTTTTGTGCTTTTTTTATGCTGTGTGATATTTTTCGATTTGTCACCGAGGACCTATTAGCTTTTATTAATTGCATGTTAGGTAGCTTGACGAAACTCAGCTCTTTGACATTTCTGACTCCAATGTTTGCATCAGTTTTTGGGTAAGCATTTATAAACCAGAACTCAACTGTTGACTTCATTGCTGTGTGTATAGTTAATATTTTCTAATTAAATGTTTGTGCTGCAGTTTTATCTATCTTGGTGAGACTTTCAGCCCTTTGCAACTGGTTGGAGCTGTCTTAACTGTTGCAGCAATATACATGGTTAACTACAAAAATTAGGCAGAGTGAAAAACATCAACTCGTCACCTTTGATTTTGAGTTGCCCAACAAAAACCTGATATTTGCTGGAGTGGATACATGTTGATTATTAGTCCCGGGTGCTGCGGATCCAGAGTAATAAAAAGGAAAGCCCGTATACTGAAAGATTGATTTGAGGTTTGTTCATGCATAGCTGGCCTATTATCAGTGCAGAAAAAAAAAATAAAGAAAAAAATCACTTAGGTGTTGCTACTTCATACNAAGAAGGATTATGACCAACACTGAGGTGTATACATGTTTTAGGAAAAAAGATACAAGGAAATCAAGATTGTTACTATTATATAAAAATTTGTATTTTTGCGTTGGCAAAAATGTTCATACATGTAATTAATACGAATAATCATATGTATGCCGTGCATGTTGAACTTGGGGTCGTATGTGACATGTTTTAAGTTGCTTCCCGATTTACTAGTTGTATGACTACATGTGATATAAAAGCCAAACATGAGAGGATATTTTGCTACAGTCCAATAAATTAGGTGTTTAGTACACGTTTTGCAACTCTTCCCGTTCAAGTGTTTCAAGTTTCAGCTCCATATCCTTCCACACGCAGTCCAACTGCATTATATTGACTGCATGAAGAATTTTAAGATATTGAATAATTAAAATAAAAGGCTAAATAAAAGGATTTGTTCAATTGGTTCAAAGTTTACTCGGTTAACAAGAACAGAACTAGTGAAATGAAACAGATCTCTACTAAAACAATAAATGAACAGCAAAAGGTTGCAAGTTTGCAACCATACAAATAAAAACACACCCTCTAAAAGTTGTTAC